GTATACGTTCTTACGAATGAGAATTATTACAAAGTTTGCCTAAACGAAGGCGCCTTTTCAAAATACTTTCAAAAACCACACAAAGCACATTTTCAAACAAAAGCAAGTGATCTAGCAAGCAACTAAGAGCCCATAGGTAACTATGGATGAAAAGGGTGCTAACACCTTTCCTTTTCATAATCTACCCCCCGGACTCAAGAAATAATCTCAAAGGTCTTTCCTGTTCTTTTCAGCTTTCCTTTTGGATAAAAGAAAAGTCGGTGGCGACTCTTGCTAACCGTAACATTGTGATAAAACGCAAAACACATAGCTCCCGAAATAACTTCACTTACTATGATTAAATTTATTAATCATTTGGATCTGCTAGTATTACTCCACTGTCTTGTTTGCGCTGACAATTCAAAATGACATCAATATCCATTTTCATTTCCAAAAAAACATCAATATCCAAGTAAGATAGAACATTTAATTGCCTTGTAAAATTGGATGCAAGCTTGAAAGATTTAATTGTTGACTTCGTATCAAACTTTTATTCACACCTTGATTTATATTGATTCCAAAGTTTTAACATAACTTTTTCTAGATCTTAAATATAATATAAAAGTCCTCCCAAGTAATGACAACACCACATGGTATGCAAAACAAACTAATTTATAAAAGAAATCATACATATTCGTAGTTGATATAAATCACAAAAAACAACCTAGCACAAATGAATATAATGGAAAAGTTGTTGGAGAATACAAAAATTCTTAATTAAAAAGGTAAGAGAAAAAAAGCGAAATCAACTTTGCAGTCCCTAATTTGTTGATATATATATATATATATATATATATATATATATATATATATATATATATATATATATATATATATATATATATATATATATATATATATATATATATATATATATATATATATATATATATATATATATATATATATATATATATATATATATATATATATATATATATATATATATAGTCACCTCACCATAAAAACTCTATGAATATTTGATAAAGATTGTTATCAAAAAGTTTGTGGTCAACCTAAATACATTTAAAAGTAAAAAAATGAAAAGTAATTACTTACAAGCATGTTAGAGAGATGGTGAGTTTCAATAGCTTCTGATTTACTAAATTGTTCTCTACATTTGTGACAAGTAGCAATTGAAGAACCATTAGAATCTTTCTCAATGAATATGCTATTACTTGAATAAGTCCACCACCATCATGAAAGCCTAACCCTTTTTATAAAAGAAAAAGTAATTTCCCTATATAAGACACACTTTAGATATAATAAAATAATTTCATACATTAAAACAAGAAGAATTATATAACTCAAGGAATTGATCATGTTACTAAACCAACTTAACAAACACAAAATAATATAGAATCCCTAAGATTCAAGGGAAACTGGCCCTATCATACCTCCCAAGAATATAAACATCCAAATCCTCCTCGGTGTTCCCTCGTTCCATCTCCACGGTCACAACCGTGAACGCATCACCCGTGTGCTCGGAAAAATGTGAGGAAATCTCCAGAGGACCCTGAGCAATCCAATCTACCCCTTTGGGGACCACAGGTACTTCCTGTATGGGCATATTTTACCCAAAAACTTTGGGCTGCCTCGACGTGATCTGCTCAGACGAACTCTCTTCGGTTGTGTCTTGGATGGACGTAGATTGATTAGAGGAATTTAGCTCGCCCATAACATCATCCTCGGAACTACTGGCCAATTTTTCCTGAAAAGCATAGGACGAAAGTGAATTCAACATCAAAATCAAATCCATCCTTCCACCGCCAGTCAAGTGAAAGGGCGCGCAAAGGCACGAGGACCACGTCCTCGACCAGAGCCCTTACTCAAACAGCAAAATATGGACACAAGTAGGTTATCTCCCCGACAGCTGAGTTCTAACACCCATCATGAAGGTTCATTAGAAATGCATAAAGTTCACGATTGAAACCCAGAAACGGCCCAAATGCCAAACATCACTAGAGGACTCGCGGTGGAGCCGACGTCCTCGTGTGCCTGAACCACTATCATACACCAACAAACCGTCGGGAAATTCCTCCACTAAGCCACGTCAATCCTAACCGCATGCATCTCTAGACGCGAAATTAAAAAATCTAGCCTAAATCAGAGATGAAATTCACGGAAACTAGAGAAAAATCAAGAAACTTACTTGATCGGGGAGGCTTAACAGCAGGACGAGCAGAAACTTCGGTGGTAAGCGGCGGCGCTTTGCAGAACTAGCATAAGTGAGTAGGGGAAGGCAAGCGAAAGGTACAAATGAAACATCCTCTCTCCCATTTATAGGAAGCTTCACTAGCACGTGAGCAGGCACGCGCCTAGAGAAACATAGGGGTCATCCTCATTACGCCCTAGTCCATAAATTCACCATCGCTACGCATTTATGACAGCATGTGACTCGATGCAAGCGTGGCACGCAAACTCCTCAAGTCGAATCAACTATTCCTCTCCTCGCGAGATGAATACACCGGGCAACACTCGAGCTCCTCGTACGAAATTGTCCCAGAAAAAAATCACAGAGCGTCCCCCGATCGCGGGCACGTCTTAAGTCATTACTCCTCTACCCAGAAGCAACAACTTGGGGGATCCTTTTCTGGATTGGCCCAATGACTAGAATTGGTCCAATCCGCTTCTACCTCCGGCGTGGCCCAACAGCTCTGGCCCACTAACTCTGGCCTTCGGTCGAGCACCCGTGATCGACCACATCACAAGGCTAGCAAGGATAACGATGCCTCAACCACGCATCTTCCCGCATTGACGTCCACCTCCAGGTCTACCCGGAACCCGTAGAGCAGACAACCAGGAAACGTCTATAAAAGCATCTGCCAGTAATATCCTTATTGCTTTGAGCAACGGCTAATTACTAGCATGGCTGCCCATTTTGACTAAGTCCTGAAAGTTACCTATTTTTTAGGAACCTAATATCTAAGCCCAAAAATAAGAACCAATGGCTACGCGTGGGGGCATTATAAAAACCCTCACACTTGTGAGGGTCAAGTATCCAATAATCACTCTAAAAAACTCTAATCTCTTTTTTGTATTTCTTTGCACTCTTTCTCACTTGAGCGTCGGAGTGCCTTGCAGATACACCCCCTCCTCTTTTCAGATTTCTAGCCAAACTGACATCATCTTCTCGACCCACTTCAGATTCTGATCAACCGGTACGATCATATAATTTAATTAAAAAAACTCTAATATAATCTTTAAAAAAATATGCTTTCATAAAATCCATCTAGAACCTAACAAAATCACCATAAAAGTATATTATCTCTACTAAAAAATAAACATTCATTAGAATAAATAACATAAAATTAAACAATTAGAAACTTCAAAAATATTAATCAATCAATTTAGATCTCTAATTCTCTATAGTATTTTAAAAAATCAAAATTTAATCAATAAATATTTTCAAAATAGAAAAATTGATAAGTCATTTTAAATCTGAACCATGTTATTAGAACAATCAGTAAATATATTTTTAATTAAATATTTAAATAAAATATATTCAATAAGGTGTTTACAAATTATTTACCAAACGTCTATACGTATACCCAAATCCCTATTCCATAGAGAATATTAAATAAAATCAGTAATCATATTTTGTTTGCACTTTTTTAGTTGCCATATTCCATAGAGAATATTCCACCCTAATGTCATTTTAATCTTTATAATATTCATCTTAAAAAAAAACCCAAATTCCCTATTCCAACATTGCTCATCTTTTTTATTCTTTCATTTTGAATTAATTAGTCTACTTGATTTTATGTGAGAAGAATGAATTAATTTTTTTTTATCAGTTTTATGATTGCATTGTTAAAATCCCAAAAAAAAAAATTAAATCAATTAACCAAAAACTGCATATAAGAAAATGAGTAAATAAAAAGAAAATAACGTTTTGACTATAATATATCATAGTATATCTATGTATTCATATTTTTTCTAATTCTAAATTGGAAGATTAAGATATTAAATTGATAGTGATACAAATATTATTTATATTATCTATGCATAAATAGAGACTAATTATCTCTCTCACACACACAAACAATCAAAAACTGTTTTATTTCCATAAACAAATATTATTTAGATAATGTAATAAAAAATTAATTAACATTGTATTAAAATGTTTAAAGAGATAAGTAATTTTGAAATAATTTCTTTAAATAATTAGCTATTTTGAAACATGATATTACAATTAAAGGTGTAAATAAAGACCATACAAATTACAATAAATCTCACAAAAAATAATCGATAGAATCTTACAAAAAGTTTAATAATGTCAATTCATACAATATTTTAATCCTATATTTATATTAATCTATACTTAACGTATAATTATTGCAGATTTTGAGAATAAAAAAAATTGATAAATCAATTTAAATCTCAACATGTTTTAAAAAAATCAATAAATTCCAAAATTAAATATTCAAATAAAATGTATTAAATAAAAAATTTATAAATTATTTTTAAATAAATTATATGACATGATTAAATAATAAATTTTCATTTAATAACGTATAAAATTATTTTATACTGTCATCTTTTAACTCTATTTATTATTTTAAAAAATCTATAAAACTAATATAAATTTCTAAACAAAAATGGAAATTCATGTCTAGCTTTTCCATATGCATATAACTAAGCAAATGGACCAATTGACTAACGGGACGATAACGCTATACAAATTATAATAAAATCAACATCACACATAGTCATCATATAAAATACAATCACCATAAGTGTGTAAATCATGATCAAAACTATAAATAATTAAAAAAAGATGAAAAAGAAAAACAATAACATAAAACAAAAACTGTTATGATATTAAGTATTAGAATTAAAAGAGTGCTATAATTGATATTAGAATAAAAAGGTGCTATGATTAATATTTCATTAGCACAATGTACTATTCATAAAATAAAATAAAAACTTCTAATTTTATAAAACATTATTCTACTAGTCTAAAAGAAAATTATCAAATCAGAAATTCCACCAGCCTCTTCAATCCAAGAAAGATTGATGAACAATTTTCCATCACTAAACCACTCAAAAGCCACTTTAGAACCATTCAATTCAAATTTCTTTGGAGATTCACTTGAATAAGCAAGAAAGTTTCCACCACCTTTAACCCTAATCTTAGCACACCTTTCAGTATATTCCATATTCAGAATTGTTCCACCACTATTGAACATGTTTGTCAGTCCAATTGAAGCAAATTTGATGTTGCCACCAAGCTTTGTGATTGGTACAAAATTGTATATCTCAAAAGTGGATGGTTGAATGATGAATTTGATTGGGTCAGATTTTGGAGTCATCAAACAAAGTTTTTCACCTTGATTGGAGTAGACTACATACTCTTCAGCCTTACCAAAATCGGTTGCTTCTTTGTTTTGATCCCATTCAATATCAGTTACATGAACAGAACCAGTCATGGTTTTGTAGCATTCAGGAAAGCCCCTAAATTTGTGCAGTTTTGTGTCCCAACCTGCTCCTTGACAGTTGAAAGCACCAATCACTCCTCCATTCTATTTTACATAAGAAAAATTATGGTCATTACACAATAATACATACTTCTTCAGGTCTCAGATTCATTGAATAATCGTTGTATATATAAGCATCATAGAAATCAGCTATTCAATGAACCTGGAAGATAAGATATTAACCGAGAGAGCATATGAATTTATATATAACAAATATAACATCAAATATAAGATAAGAAATTAATGTGTACCTTGTTGAAGTTCCAAATTTTGAGGACAGTTGTATGGTCAAATAAAGGGTTTTTGAAAAGACAATCTCTAGTTGGGAAGGGAAATTGTACGCATTTGGGAATTGTGCCATCAGGGAACACAAGTTTCTTAATCAAATCAAAGTCATGAAATCCAACATGATCACTCAAGTAAATAGGACCACCACAAATAGCTCTTGAACCAGCATGAAATTTTCCACAAACATGATTTGATTGGAACATGTCCCAATCAGGTTGAATAATTTGTCCCATCCATAAGCTATTATAAGAACAATGAATCATGTGTAACCCTTGTAGCCAATATTCTCCTGTTGGGTCACCTTCAGGACCTTTGACCCAAAAATCATCCCCTACAAAAAAAAAAGTCACTTTTTGCTTAAAAAGTATGGTAACTTTTTAGTTGCATATATATGTGAATGAATGAATATATAATATAATTTTTTTTATGGATCATGTACTTGAACATAGTTTAGGGCTTACCAGCTCTTCCCATGGCAACTTGCTTTGTTCCAAGGAAGAAAAAGTCATTACATTGTTGCATGCTAGCCATGATTCCATTTCCATTAAAATTCTTGACAATGGATTTTGTCAAACCTTCATAATAAGCTTTGGCAAGGTCGACTCTGCCTCCATATTCTTCACACACATATTCAAGAGACTGCAAAAAAAAAAAAATTTAACTATTATTAATTTATCATAGAAAATTTATAAAGAAAAATATTATCATTTTTGTTATCATTATTTTTAAGTACTAAATTAGTGGTTATTATTTAACTCCAACAAACACTACAATAGTCAATACTGTGTACACAAATCTATTTAATTATTAATATTATTTAATAAAATATTATTATTAGTTGTAGTTAATAAATTAATTAACACATATGAAATTCAATAAAATAAATATATTAATGTAAAAATAAAATATTATATTAATATTTTTAAAATTATTATATATATATATATATATATATATATATAACTATATATATATATATATATATATATATATATATATATATATATATATATATATATATATATATATATATATATATATATATATATATATATATATATATATATATATATATATATATATATATATATATATATATATATATATATATATATATATATATATATATATATATATATATATATATATATATATATATATATATATATATATATATATATATATATATCAAATCAGATAAGATCAAATGAGAGTGTCTATTTTTAGATGTTAATTCCTACAATATTTCCAAAAACTATCTAAAACAGACATGATTTGATTGAAAAAAAATCAATTTTACACTTGTATAGAGTTGATTTTGTTTTATTAATAAAAAAATATTTTCCCACATTATCACTTAGTATTGCTAAGTAATAATATAAAACTAACTAATAACTATGAAAAAGAAAATAAAACAAAAACAACTTACATGAATGACATCAACTTTGACCCCTGTGATACCCGAATGAGCAAGATTAGAGTGCATGGAATCATAAAAATCAGTGGCTTGATCAGGATGAACTAGCCCAATTGAACCTTCAACAATTTTAACAACAGCAAGATCAAGCATTGTCCCATCAAGTCCGGGTGAAAGTTTGCAAGGAACAATCTTGGATTTAAGGTGTGTAGTTTCTGGTCTCACACCACCCCAGGCACCAACAAGTGCATGCCAAACATAAACATCATCCAAACCTTTGAACTTTATCCTCAAATCCCTTGTCAAAGCCTTCATTCCATTCAAAGTTCTACATTCACTTTTTGGAACATTGTTACATTCTTCTACACCAAAGAGAACGTCAATTTCTTCCTTTAATTTCTTGATATTTGAATCAATTTCAGCCAAATCAGAACTCTTTGATAAGACAGCTTCATCTCTTTGTTTCCTCAAAAGCTTATGTTGATTTCCCTTTGAAATCAAGTCCTTGATTCTCTTAGCATTAAAAGGAGGTGAATTAGGGTTTAATAATAACCCACTTTCATATTTCTTGAACTTGTCACCTTCGTTGAGCCTATTAAGTCTTCCACCCATTTGTTCGCCACCAAGAATAAGATTCTTAGCATTCTCTTTGGGATCACACCCATCCAAACTAATACTTTGCCATCCATCATCAATAATGACGAACCTCGGCTCGATACCAGCTTTCGAAAAATCATCAAGACCATGATAAATACCACTAGGATCCACAGTTAAGTAGAAAGCATCCCATGTGCACCAACCAAATTTATCAACTATATTTGGAAGCACTTTTTCTTCTAAAAGCTTAAAAGTGTTTAGATGAACCCTTATAGCACTATAAGCTTCTTTCATCAAATTATAAGGATTTTCACTCAAATGAACATAAGCAATAGCATTGAAATTCAATGCTTTCACTTTTGTTGAACCACTTTCAGCACAAATCATGACATGACCATCAGAACCGGGATGAAGTGCAGACCTAAAAGATTTTTCAATGATAGGAATGATTACAACATAAGATTTGATTTTAGGAATTTCAATGAGAAGCCATTGAGTTTCCATTTGCAAATCGGAACCAGAATTTCCCACCCATTGACTTGACCACCATGTTTTGAACCTGAAGACACTTAGAAAGTTTTTTCCAGTAAAACTACCCAATGAATTCATCAACCTATCAGAAGGGATTTCATTGGAGAATCCAAAGAAACCACCTTTGTGAGAAAGAGAAAAAACTCTTTGAAGAAGTGAAGGTGGGACATTTGGTTCAGAGGGTTTGCATATTGAAGAAAAAGGACTAAAAGAAATATTTTGTGGAACATCACGGAACAATGGAACACCTTTCACAATGAAGTTTCCCTCAGATAAATCAAATAAAGACGCCATGAAAACAAAAAGACAAGAATAGAAGAAAAAATTGAGTAAGAAAGAAAAGAATAAGAAAAAATATGATGTGGAGAAATTTATTCTGTGATGGAATATAAATAGTAAAATTGTCACTTATTTATTTATAGAAGAAAAAAATATTTCTCTAACAGAGAAAATAAATTCAATCCAATTTATTATAGTTTAACCCTAGATTTCTCTTACAAATTGAATAAAAAATGAAAGAAAATATATGAATGGTTTTACATAAAAGGTAAATAATAATACACTATTTTTTTGACCCAAAAAAATACACCACTTCTATGTGTCATAAAAATATTTTATTTAGATTTTCTGCTAATTTATATTAATTCTAATAGTACAGATCAAAAAAATATAATAATTTTAATAGTGAGACTAATATAATTTATCAAATTGAATGAAATTAAATAAATAAAAATTTATTTGTGAAACAAAAATAAATATAACTTTATTAATTTAAAAAATTATTATTATTTATATTTTCCACAAGCATCATCTTTTGTTTGCACTTTTTTAATTGCCAATTTTCTTAGAGAATATTCCAACCTAATGTCATTTTAGTCTTTATAACATTCATTTAAAAAGAATCTATATGCATACCCAAATTCCCTGTTTTAATATTGTCCAATTTTTTTTATTCTTTACTTTCGAATTTATTGGTCTACTTATTTTTATTATTTAAATTGAAAATTTTAAATAGATTGAAATTCAAGCATCAAATAAGTCTCAAAATTTAAATAATATTTACAATTTTAAATTATTTACTAAAATATTTTCACATGGAACACTGGTATAAGTTGAAATCTTGCTTAAAGAGAATGAGTTAAGTTATTTTTTTACTAATTTTATGATTGCATTGTTAAAATTCTAAATAAAATTAAATCAATTAACCAATTAATATATATGAGAAAATTAATAAATAGAAAGAAAATAATATCTTTACTAAAATATTTTATAGTATATTTATGAATTTATTTTGCTGTAATTCTAAAATAGATGATAAAGATATTAAATTGATAATGATGCAAGTATTATTTAGTATAAACCTAGTATTATATTCAAATTTGTGAGGATCACAACCACAAAACTCTCTCTCTCAAACAATTAAAATTTTAAATAGATTGAAATTCAAACATCGAATAAGTCTCAAAATTTAAACAACATTTATAATTTTAAATTATTTATTAAAATATTCTCACATCGAACACTGGTATAAGTTGAAATCATTCTTAAAGAGAATGAGTTAAGTTATTTTTTTTATTAATTTTATGATTGCATTGTTAAAATTCTAAATAAAATTAAATCAATTAACCAATTAATATATATGAGAAAATTAATAAATAGAAAGAAAATAATATCTCTACTAAAATATTTTATAGTATATTTATGAATTCATATTTGCTGTAATTCTAAAATAGAAGATAAAGATATTAAATTGATAATGATGCAAGTATTATTTAGTATAAACTTAGTATTATCTTCAAATTTGTGAGTATCACAACGACAAAACACTCTCTCTCTCTCTCAAACAATTAAAATTTTAAATAGATTGAAATTCAAACATCGAATAAGTCTCAAAATTTAAACAACATTTATAATTTTAAATTATTTATTAAAATATTCTCACATCGAACACTGGTATAAGTTGAAATCATTCTTAAAGATAATGAGTTAAGTTATTTTTTTTACTAATTTTATGATTGCATTGTTAAAATCCTAAATAAAATTAAATCAATTAACCAATTAATATATATGAGAAAATTAATAAATAGAAAGAAAATAATATCTTCACTAAAATATTTTATAGTATATTTATGAATTCATATTTGCTGTAATTCTAAAATAGAAGATAAAGATATTAAATTGATAATGATGCAAGTATTATTTAGTATAAACCTAGTACTATCTTCAAATTTGTGAGGATCACAATGACAAAACACTCTCTCTCAAACAATTAAAAATAGTTTCATTTTCATAGGCATATATTATTTTAAATATTATTCAGATAATACAATAAAATCTAATTATTATTGTATTAAAATATTTAAAGTGATAAGTAATTTTGAAACATTTTTATTTAAATAATTATTTATTCTGATACATGATATTAAAATTTTAGGTGTAAACTAAGACCTTACAATGATTCACATAACAAAATTATACAGTGTCAATTCTTCACAATTGTTTATATATACAAATAAAATTAATATTAGTTATATATATTAGAATAGGTGCATTTGTCCAGCTGTATGCTTGTAATTGGTTTTTTGTTAGGCTATTGTTATTGGTTGAGTTAGTTGTGAAAGTTGTTATATTGGCCCACTTGTAAACAGTAGTATAAAAGTTCTTATCCTCTACGGTAAAAATCATCAAGTTTTTTGAAATATTACAGAAGCTGCACAAAGTGCAGATTGTTGAATGCAGAGCATTCTTTATCATTTTACCATGGTATCATCGTGATCGATCCATCCACCTTCCGCTCGTCTCTCTTCTCTTCCCGGTGATTTCTCTCTGGTTTCTGTGGTATCTCTGTTTCTTGTTCTTCATCCTCATCTCTGCAATCATGGCTACTGATAATCAAGAAGTACAGTCCTCATTCACTTCCTTCTCCACTGGCAACAATGGATTTGGACCTCGTCTCTCCATCAAGCTCCAAGAGAACAATTTTCTCCTTTGGAATCAACAGATTGAAGGAATCATCCTTTCTCACAAACTTCACAAATTTGTCGTGAATCCGCAGATTCCCCCAATCTTTGATTCAGAAGAAAATCGTATAGCGAACAAGGTTTCTGCTGTGTACGAATCTTAGATTGTGCAAGATCAAGCACTATTCTCATGGCTTCTCTCGACAATTTCAGAGTCTGTTCTTCCAAGAGTCCTTTCCTGCAAACACTCGTATCAGATTTGGGATCAAATCCACAAGCATTTCAATGCTGTAATGAAAGCTAGGGTTCACCAGCTACGATCTGAGTTGAAAACCACCAATAAAGGGAATAGGTCAATTTCTGAATATGTGCTGAGAATTAGGGATATCGCTGATGCACTACTGGCTATTGGTGATCCCATCTCAGACAGAGATCAAATTGATGCCATCCTACAGGGGCTTCCGGAGGAGTACAATCCATTTGTCATGATGACTTATGGCAAAGGTTAACTATCCTCCATTTATGATGTTGAAGCTCTCTTGTATGTCCAGGAAGCACAACTTGACAAGTATCGTCAAGAACTTGCACTTACCACGGCCACTGCAAATCTTGCATACACTGAAGATCAGACAAGTTCCAAGTCCACCAGAGGTGGCTTTCAGCAGTCAAGGGGGCGTGGCTCTGGCTCCAGAGGTCGTGGTCGCACCAGGGCACACAGTGCTTACACTCAAGGAAATCGTCCTACGTGCCAACTCTGTGGAAAATATGGCCATGCTGTTATCAATTGCTGGCACAGATATGATGAAAACTTTGAACATGTGGCGCCTAAGGCTAATCAGCAGCCAACACAATCAAAAGATCAACAGAATAATGAAGCCTCCAGTTCTGCACAAGCCTCTGCATTCCTAGCACATCAAGAAGATTTCAGCCTTCCAGCAAATCTTGAATCACAGGCTTGGTTCGCGGATTCAGGTGCATCCCATCATATCACCTCTAGAAACTATCATAGTAAACATACTAAACCATATCGTGGCAATAATGAAGTCATTATAGGAAATGGTACAGGTCTGAAAATTGAATCTGTAGGGTTAGCTCATATTAAGCCTAACAATACTTCCAGTTATCTGCTGAGTCTGAATGATATGCTTCATGTTCCTAGCATAACTCGAAATCTGTTATCTGTTTCCAAATTTGCTAAAGACAACAAGGTCTTCTTTGAGTTCCATTCTAACAGTTGTTTTGTCAAATCTCAGGCATCTAAGGAAGTGCTCTTAGAAGGCTACCTTGATGCTGGAGGATTATACTACTTTCCCAATCTCACCTTGAAGGCTCTTGTGTCACCTACAACAAATTCAGCTTGTATCTCATCTGATAAGGTTTCAAATACTTCAGATTCAATTTCCAATAAGCTTTCTCTATGGCATCATAGGCTAGGCCATGCTAATTCTGTAGCTATTAAAATTGTTCTCAACATGTGTAATATCCCTTTGAGCAATAAAGATAATGCTGAATTTTGTAATTCATGTTTTGTAGGTAAGTCTCATAGAATATTTGCTCCTTTAACTTCTATTGTGTATACTGCCCCTTTTGAATTAATTCACACTGATTTGTGGGGACTATCAGCAAACCCCTCTAGCCAAGGCTTTTCTTACTACATAGCATTTGTAGATGTGTACACTAAGTATACTTGGGTCTACTTTCTCAAACATAAGTCAGATGCCCTCAATAGTTTCAAACACTTCCTTGCCTTTGTCAAAACACATTTTCATACCACTATTAAGGCTCTTCAGTCTGACTTTGGTGGTGAGTACAGGCCCTTTACTAACCTTCTGAATGATCTTGGCATTGTTCATAGACTAACTTGCCCACATACTTCTCATCAAAATGGTACAGTTGAAAGGAAACATAGAAACATAGTAGAAATTGGACTAACTTTACCTGCTCATGCTAATCTATCCATAGAATATTGGGATCATGCCTTTACAACAACTGTCTATCTGATTAATAGACTCCCCACTCCTACACTTCTTAAAACTGTCTCCCCTTTTCAAGCTCTGTTCAACAAAATGCCTGACTATTCCACTCTTAGAGTCTTTGGTTTCTCCTATTTTCCTCATTTAAGACCCTACAATCAAAATAAACTTCAGTTAAGAAGCTCTGAGTGTGTGTATCTAGGAATTTCTCCATATCATAAGGGATATAAATGCCTTAGCAAAGAAGGCAGGATTTATATTTCCAAGGATGTCATTTTCAATGAAAAAGTCTTTCCTTTCCCAACTTCAATCTGTCAAAACAGGACCCACCAAGTCTATCCCTTTACTTGTACAAAGCAGT